CTTTTATTTCTGAATGGATGCGAGCGACTCCTTCATCTTCCTGGTCATGGTTGGAATGAGGTTCATATGGTCATCCACACACTTGGTCACACAACTCTCCAGCTGCTGCTTCACCTGAAGCTCTTTTCTCCCTGCATCTATTGAATCTTTGGCTTTGTCGTTGCAATGCATGGTGCACCGGGCCAGGCGGTCCTGTGGCAAGAAGGAAGAGAGCAGAGCCTTCATTTACCGAGTGCTTATCATATGCCAGGCCCAGGGTTACATGCAGTAAGTCCTCACTTAATGTCATCAACAGGTTCTTGGAACTGTGGCGAAACAACATATAACGAAACCAAATTTACCACAGACTAATTGATATATAAAAGAGTTTAGTTCCTATGCTATCTCACCAATGATAGAACAAAATGATGTTATTCGAGACCCTGCTGTGTTTTGGCTTGACATGTATTACCTTATTAGTTAAAGGGACACTACAGTGCCATTAACCAAGATTATTCTGATTGAAACAGAGGGTGGCACCAGGAGGGCCCAGACAAAGCATTACTAGAAAGCAGGTGAATGACAATAGATTGTACAGGAGCCGCTTCCAGGAAATAATTTGAGGCCAGTTACTCAATTACAGAAAGACTTACCAACATCTTGATTCTTTTAATGTCTGTCCTTATTACAGAAAAACACTCAATACAACACTTTTTTACTGAGTATCTCCTATGTGCCAGGTACTCTTCTTAATGTTGGGAAATACAGTAATGAGTCAAGCATAACATTCTTGCCCTCACTGAACTTATATTCCACTGAGGAAAGAGAGACCAACAAAATAAACAAGTGAGATGTTGACACAACAGATGTATGAATTTGGAGACCAGGAGTGATGTTGGCCTTGAGATATAAATGTAGGAGTTGTCAGCATATAGATGAGATTATACCTATGAGACTAGAGAAATAGATAGAAAAGAGAAAAGGTCCAAGGACAGCCCTGGGCACTCCAATGTTCAGAGGTTAGAGGGGAAAAGCCAGGAAGGGAGACCATGAAAGGATGGCAGGGAGAGAGGTGGAAAACCAGGAGTGTGGTATCCTGGTGACCAACTGAATAAAGTGTTTCAAGGACGGGGAGAGTGATCCACTGTGTCATTGATGCAGATGGGTTAAGTAAGATGAGGAATGAGAAATGACCACCGGATTTAGCCCCATGGAGGGGAATGGCAAGAGCAGTTCTGGCACTGTGGGAGAGCACGTCTCATTGGAGAGGACTGAAAAGTGAATGGGAAGAGAAAAGTTATACAGCAATTCAAGAATCAACATTTCAAAGACCCTATTTATAAAATTAGGTGTCAAAATAAACAAAAAAACCCTTGGGAGTTCCATGATCTTGGAGCTGTTGTTCTTTTATGGTGCCAGTAATTTTAAAGAATTTTATATAGAATATAAAAATGTATCACATTAATTTTTCCATTGTGAACAGAATCCTAGGCTATGAAAATTTGGTTCAGAAGTGGGCCTGGGTCCCCCCACGTTCCAGACAAGTATATTTAGAGGAAGGGAGTAAAATGAAGTTGTGGCTACCATTTGCTCCAGAGGGATGCGGGGAGGGGGCTGTTAGTGACCTCAGAGGGGCTCTGGAGGCAGACACCTTGGAGTCAACAATAATAATGTTTCATATAAATGACTGCTCTTTGGTGACATGCCCTCTGGGTGTAACAAATAGGGGCAGTGCTGGGTGGGTTACAAAATGGTGGTAGGATCTTACTCTAATCTGCACCTTTTTTTATTTTTTTGGAAGATTTTATTGGGGAATTGGGGGAGGGGATCAGACAAGTTGCTCTCCTTTTGTTCTTCAGTCTAGTTGTGGAGGACGTCGCTTCACTAGCCAATGTTGGTATGATCATTGCGCTCTTCCCAGGTGAGGCAGTCGCTTGCCGGCCATTGGACAGCCGCTCACGGCGGCTTACAGTGGCTCATGGCGGCTTACAGTGGCTCATGCTGGCTACCGGCCACTTGCGGTAGCTCACAGCAGCCCACTGTAGCCTGACTGCAGCCTATGCTGTGGCCAGCGACTCACAACAGCCCAGCTCCAGGTCGAGCTGTTGTTCACCATCTTAGCTGTAGAGGACACAGCGTCACTGGCCCTCATGTGGGATCCAAATCGGTGGCCCGGCTGCTCAGAGCTTGTGCTCCCAAGCCAACTCTTAACCAATGAGCCACTTGGCCGGCCCTAATCTGCACTTTTTTAAGATTAGCCTATTCCACTTTCCTGACGATTCTGCTGTTATAAGAATGAGTTAATGTGTTTTAAAAAGCTTTGTACTATACAGTATATATATTTGGTGTCTATGGAAAAAAAAAAGCATAAACTCTTGGTCACAAACTCCCTTGGTCACTCATTGTTTCTATGGGAAATACTTACAGCACTCAATCACCTGAATTTTGTCCAAAATTTCAAACCCTGAATAGATTGGTTGATCACAACATTGTAACCAATGTTAACAGAACCAAGGCACTAAATAAAGCCAAGAGTTTTGTAATAAATACACCATCTTCTGCAAAAGAGCAACATCAAGGGCTAGAGAGTCCTCTGTCTGGGATATTCCTCACCTGGAACTTCTCCAACTCGCTGGTCACCAGGGCCTGGGCTTGAGCCAGAGGTGCGTGGCAGCGCTCAATGCACTGGTGTACCTGCTGCATGGTCGCTTGGCTGTCCTCACAGCAGCCAGCGCTGCACCGGAACATGAGGCCCTGGGGAGGGAGGGCAAGGAGAGGTTAGGTAGGGAAGCCCCCGGGGACAGAGATGACCACAGAGTGCAAGTGAGGTTAGGAGGAGCGTCTATATTTGCACCTCTCCTTAGACTAGACATCAGGACCTTAAGACCACGAATGGGAAAATTATCCTCAGTGCCTTGCAGAGTGTTTCATGGCCTTCTTGCTGCTAGCTCAGTGGCACTTGTTGCCTCGAAGGCCAGGTGGACGGGGAAGCTGGCGGTGGGTCAGATGAAGCCAAATTCTGAAAACCAGGAGCCTATATCACAGGGTTTCAGAGGGCAGCAGCCTAGTAATCTACATTCCACCCGGGGGCAACGCATCCATTACTTAGTGACTCAAGGGGGCACTAGAAGAGAAACCCACAATCCCATTATGGAGGCAGGACACTAACTATTTAGGGGAATCAAAGCAGAACAGCATATAAACCAGAGCTGAGTGGAGCGAATAACCGGGCGAGACCTGGCCATTGAGGAGGCGGAGCGCTTTCGCCTTTCCGGTCTTTCACCTTGGCCATGATCTTTCTGGGCCTCGGGCTGCTCACCTGCAGAAGGGGTCGCACAAAAAGGGGAAGTCGGGGAGGCCAATGCCTCACACCAGGGACTTTCTAACCCTGGTCCGGGAACCCACCCCCACACCCCTCGGGCTGGCCTGCGTGGAAAACGGCCTTGCACGTGGCGAGGGCGCACAGATTTCATCCGCTCAGCCGAAGCTCCAGATTTTCTGTCTCAGGGCAAGGCCTGCTTCCGAGGACACCGCAGCAACCCCAGGGACGTCCCGTCCGGGGTCTGCGTGGAGGGGGACGGTGGCGAGGGACATAGCACGGAGACTGTGGGAAGGGGCCGCGAATTCCGGGCTTCCCCCGGATGGTGCCCGCACCGCTACCTGCATCTTCCGGATGTTCTCTCTCTCGATACTCTTCACCATGGAGTCCACCGCCTCCTGCACTCGGAGCTGCTGCAGCTCCGCCATGGCGACCCCGGCCGCGCTGGGGCCAACATGGACTCTCCGCACCGGCCCGCCCCCTCGTCGCAGCTTCCCGAGGCACCGCGGCAGGTCCGTTCCCGGCCCACGCTGCCGCCTGGCGTCCGAGAGAAGCAACTGCACGCTGGGCGGCCGCGCTCCCGCCTCCGGTTCGCTCCAGCTCCCACCCACTGTGTGCACCTCGCCAGGGCCGCCTGCGGCCGCGCAGGGCTTCTTCACCTGATCTCCGCACTACCTTGCGCGCACCGCGACTGCCTTTCTGCCTCTCCTCCGTACTTCCCTCCCTTCCTTCAAATTCTTAACACAGGGTATTTAATACGTGTAATTAACATAGAGAAAATTGCCCAGATCTTAGGTGTACAGCTCGATGAATTTTAACAAACCTGCCCTTTCCCACTTTCTGTCCTTTCTCCCCCTATTCCCTCACTTCTGACCCCAGGCCATCACTGACCTGCTTTCTGTCACTACAGATTACATTTTCCCTTTCTAGATATATATGATCATTCAGTATGTGTACTCTTTTTGTGTCTGACTCTTTCACCTAGCATAAGTCTTTTTGATATCCAGCTGTATCTTTGATTCCTGTTTGCTGCGGAATGGTAGTCCATTGTATGGACATACCACAATTTGTTTTTCCATTTCCCCATTTACATTTGGGTCTTTTCCAGTTATTAGCTATTATGAATAAAGCCAGTGACTATGAACACCCTTGAGTAAGTCATAGATTTCCATTACTCTTGGGTAAGTGTCTCAAAGTGGAACTGTTGGATTGTTGGTAGATGTATGCTTATACATTTATTTCTAATAAAAACATTATTAGCCCCAAAGGCAATGCAGAGGCTACAGATATTCAATGGACGATAGAGCATTCATGTGCCAGCAGTGGCGAGCTGTTTCTGTGTTCCAGGAAAAGTTCTATCTGGAATGCCCCGTCTTCCACCCCCAATTTCACTATCCTGTGCATTCATTTATTAAAGACATATTGGGCGTCTTCCATACATAGAACACTATGCTAGGGGTGATAATTTTCTTCTGAATGTTTACATGGAGTTTCTAAGTTTTGTCCAATAATTATGTCTCCCTTGGTTATGTAAAAATTCTCTCAGGTCAGAACATTCTATCATAATTGATGAGCAAGAGAGTGAGAATGGATGAGCTCATGTAATACTGCAGCTCACTCAGCAACAACACTTTAAATTTATTATTATTTATACTATCAGGTGCTTTCACCACAAAGCCTTAAGGTCATGTCACTGCCCAGATATACTAATTGGAGTAGCATGGGAAAAGCTCGGACACATGTCAGGGAGCCGGCTCTGTGGATTTCGGCTTTCATTCTGACAGGTTGGTCCATCTGTAATCATAGCTCTGCCAGACTGCCTTAATGACAGCCTTGCCTCACCTGGCTTCCTGAGCGGATGCATTCCTTCCCGCTTGGGTCACAGAATGTTATTCTGATTCTCCAGAGTGTGGGCCCATCCTAGCTCAGTGCCTGCTTGCCAAGGACCTGCCCTGAGTCACTGTCTTTGGGACTGACAATCTGATTGCTACAATGGGATTTTTTTTTTTTCATCTTGCCTCTTTCAACTTGAAGAAAACACCCTCCTACTCACTTCTGCTGTCCTCCCCTTGTAAATCACTCTAAGATTTAACAGAATTATCCTTCCTCTGTAACTTTGGGAAAGCAGATTGGGGCACACTGGAACTTTGCTTCTGTACTGATGGGATTGCCAGAGTATGCAAAGTACTTCTGGTACAAGAGACACCTGGTAACTTGTTTATAGTAGTTAATCATGAAAATCTGCTGTTAACCTCGCCGTATACTATATACGTGTGCACAGACACACGTGAGTGCTAATATGTTAAGAACTGTAAGGCGCCCTGCAATTGTTAGTTATTTTATTATCAGGGATGCTTTTGGCAGACTTTTCATTTTGATTTTTCTGAGCACATCAATGAAGTGGAAATGGAAAAGATGAAGGACAGGCATTGGAATAGCTTTTTCTCTTAAGGAGGGATTTGTGACCTGAGCTTAGGCCTTTCAACAGGGACAGGTCCTGCCTTGTTTTCTTTGTTCCTTAGAGACCATTGGGGAGAGAAGTGACATTTACCGAGCACCTGGTATGTGCCAGTCACCCTATTCACCACATTGGTTCCCAGCGAGCATGTTCAAAGACATTGGGGTATTTTGTTTCATTTCTCCCAAAATGGTGCCTTTCTGGGTTGTTCTGAGGAGTAAATGAAGTAACTGGCACATATTCAGTGGTCAACAAATAGTTCATTTACTCACCCAAGCTTATGTGTTGATTGTTGGACAAAAATATTGTGACCCAAGGCTCACAGCCCTGTATTTCTGCCTAGGAACAACCGTTCGGTATTCACCAATTCAGTGGTAGTGGGAAATTTATAGAACATAACTATGTGAATAACAAATTGATTGTACTTGGCCTTATCCAAGATAGTAGACCTCTGCCTATTGAATATTCATAAGTACCTAAGCTCTGAGTGGTGGGCTGGGCAACTAAAGAACATCTCAAGTAAGGCATCAGTTTTCCAGGAGGCTACAGCATGGGTCTTGGGGGCAGGCTCTGCTTTGGCCTCCAGTACTCAGTTTGTGAGGCTCAGAGTGGGGCCCTTACTCCTCTGCACCTTGACATCCAGGCACCAGCATTAAAGTTGCCGCCTGCTCCTCCAAGCAGCCCAGAGCTGCCTCTGGAACCTTATGTCTTATGCTTGATGTCATAGGACATGCCTGATTCTAGGGGCGGGATGAACTCTTCAGGTACTTCTGGGAACACATAGAGGTAGCTATTTCGGGGTCAGGCTGGTTGGGAGCAGAGAGGGCAGTCCCATAAAACTCACAAGGCCTATGAGTCCAAAGGTGAGGCCCAGCTACCCCTACATTATTTATCAACCCTGCCCTTACTTGGGGTGGGAGAACAAAATTCCCCCCCCCCAGCATTATTTATTTATTTATTTATTAGTTTCAGGTGTACAAAAAAGTGCAATAGTTACCCTTCACAAAGTGACAACCCCTCTCCCCCAATCCACCGCCCAGGATAAGTTTTTTTAAACCAGAGTCAAAGTGCTTTCTCAATCTTGCATACCCATCTTGATTCTCTGATCACAACTATCTGTCCAAGTACAAACTCAGTCCACCCAATGTTTTTTTTTAAAGATTTTATTGGGGAATTGGGGGAAGGAATAGTGTTGGGGAATCGGGGAAG